GAATCAAGTGAACTACAAAATTGTCTAAATTCATTATTATTAACAATTGATAGAGGAAGAGTATAAGAGAGAATCATTCGAATTAGATTATGACTTTGTGTTAAATGTTGTGGGCATGAATTAAGATTATCAGAGATTTTTCTTTTCTTTTGAGAAGGAAAAGCATCTAAATTATCTGAATTTTTTCTCATTTTAATCGCCTTCATTATATATTCTATTTTTAAATTTTCAGGTAGGCATGACCATAATTTTAAAATAATATTTGAAATTTCTTTACTACTTAAGTTTGAAAACTTAGCAGAAATAATGTCACGCACTTCAATTGAGAATAAAAAAAAGGGAACGAAACTTTCATTTTTGCTTTCATGATCGAATAACATGTCTGCCATTTTTGAGAAATTTAACATTTATTAAAAAAATCAAAAAGTATTAAGTGAATTGCTTAGTTAAGAATTGTAATATATATACAATTTTTTTTGATTTTCAATTATTAAATTACTTATTATAATTTAAAATAATTGTATTTTTCGAATTCATTTCGGTTCACATTATCTTTTAAATAAATTAAAATTTAAACTTATTAAGAATTCATAATTGATAATAAAAACAATAACAATTAATTCAGTAATTTGATATCAAAAATTTATATATACACAATGCAATTAGATTAAATTCTAAAATTCTCAATTAACTTTTTAATTCAAAGAATTCGATCAATCACTCAACTATAAAGATGATGTTATGTATTCTCATGCAAGATTGTGGAATTTTTAAATAACTAATGTGATCCGATTTTATTTTCAAAGTTTTGCGATTTTTATTTATATTAACTCATATAAGAAAATAGTAAAATTTTATTGGTACAACAGATTTCATTCTTAAATTAGTTAGGTTTAAATTTTTTTTTAGGTCAATTTAGTCCTTTCAGCACCTAGCCCAGATTAATGTTGATATTGACGTTGACATATCATTTAAAATTAAATTTAAAAAATTTTATTTAACAATGCTTATTAATAAAGTTAAGATTGCTTTGCTCGCTAAAATTTACATAAAACTAGTACCAAATGTGTTATTTTCGTTGATTAATACAGGATCAATTAAGTCATTGATTATAAAGTAATCTTGAGGTTGGTGATATTGAAGGTAATTTATGTAAGGATTGTGAGTAGATTGACCAGACCTCATATTTGAAGTTGCAACACTTTGTCTATATTCAGGTGAAAAGTAATAGGGTATAAAACTTTCATGGAATATGGGTGTAAAATAACTATATGAGGGTGGTTCGATAGATAAATTAAAAGAGCAATTGTTATTGTCTGATAAAGCATAAGCATTGTTGGTTTCTTGAATCTGTAACAATTTAGTATTTTTGTTCGACCTAATTTCTGTGGATTTGATGATATCAGCTGCCAATAGAGGACGTTGTCTATAAGAAGTATTATTTGACCTTTTACATTTTTTGTTTTTTCTAATTGGAAAATATTTATAGTTCGGATATAGTAATTTGTGCTTCAAATTTGCTATTTCTGTTAATTTTTGCCAAAATTGGTATTCATGTTGATTAAATTTTTTAATAGCCGCCCATCTTTCCTTCGCGATTTTAGACGACTTTGGAACATTTTTACCAACTCTTTTTCTCCTGTTATTATTTTTTGGTGGATTATATTCGGCTGTTATATCGTTACAAAAGAGTATAAAACAATTTTATGGACGTGGGATGGTTTTAGCCCTAGTATTGACTGAAGAATTCCATAAAAGATCTATCCGTTTTGTAGTCCTAACATCACCAAATTCAAGAACAAGTTTATTTACTAGTTCTTTTATTTCACGAGGTTCATTATTAATATCAATTTTCTGTTGACCGATAGGTATTCGGCTTGACTCTCGTTCCTCTATAGATGGTGAGCTAGAACGAAGACTACTATTGGCTGCTTTTGACATAATTTGCATTAAATTTTGACATTCTGTAAAAGACCATGCTTATATAATACAATGCGATATGTAAAATCAGCTTTAATGACTATTATTATTTAAAGATCTTTCAATAGACCAAAGAGATTGCCACAATAGCTGTGTAATATCAATTGTTAAAAATTTAGTCTTATGTATTGTGCTTAGGCAATGCTAATCAACGTTGTTTTTAAGTTCATGTGTATTGTAAAATAAAGTGTACTCAATAAAACATTAAAAACTCAATTGATTTCTTTTAGAAAGTATTTTTTATTTAGAGTTTTTATTAATTGTATAATTATATATAATTATATGTACTAGGCGAATTAATTAAAAATAAGATAGCGACAAAAAATTTTTTGCAACAATTTATAAAAATTTGATTTGTATCGTGTAGCTGAGAGATACTCTTACTATTTTCTTTGCAAAATGCGACCAAAATATAATAAAAGTAAACGAATTATTATGTACTCTATTCCAAAAAAAAAAAATTCATTTACTAAAAACTTTATTTTGTCTCTTTTTAGCCCGAAGCATAAAATGTTATTATTGTAGAGAGAAGGGACATAAATGGATTAACTGTCCTTATATTAATTGTAATAGTGATAATAATCGTGTTATTAAAGGACAAGTCTGGAATCTAGCAGGTAATTACTGTGCTACGTGTGGAGAACTTTCGGAGGATCATCATGTCCACGATTATTGCACTCATTGCAAGTTATCATTATTATTAAATGGAAGATGTA